TTGGATACATCAAATGCTTGTATTCTGACATCTTTTTGCCCCCAAATATTCATGCAACCAAGCCAAAGACCAGTGAATGAGGAACATATACTTCTCCCCCAAAATACTTGAGAAGATCATCTGACAATGAGAAAACCCATATACTTCTTTTATAAGAAGGGAGCAATAATCTAACCTATTATAGTGCTGTGAAACCAGTTTCTACTCTGTAAGTCACATTTTATCCACTCAAAAAATATCAGGACTCTTCCTCTGAAAGTTCATTAGCTTCTGTATTAGGGTTCTTTGGAGAAACATAACCAATAGAGTATATTTTTACAGTAGGCCCCCTATATCCATGGATTCTGCAACCACAGATTGAACCAACCTGATTGTTCCCTAAATGATACAATATATCTGCTATTCATATTCATAAAGTATTCATATTACAGGAGGTATTTTAAGCAATCCAGAGATTTCAAAGTGTAAAGGAGGATATTCATATAGGTTGTATGCAAGTACTATGCTATTTCATACAGGGCATTTGAGCATCTGTGGATTTTGATATTCATACAAGTCTGGAATTAAACCCCTGTGGATACTGAGGAAGGACTGTATATTTAGGGAAGATTTATTTCAAGGAATTGAAATAGGCTATGTGGATTATGGAGGCTTTTAGGTCCCAAATCTGCAAGGTGGGTCAACGGCTGAAAATGAGGGATGAGCTGATGTTGCAGATCAAGTGTGAAGGAAAGTGTGCTGTCACAGCCGGGGGAGGGGGGTGCCAGTCTTCTGTTCAGGCCTCCAACTAATTAGATGAAGTTCACCCACATTATGGAGGTCAGTCTGCTCTATCCAGTGTCCAGCCATCCACATGCTAATATCAACTGAAAACACTGTCATGGAAATATCCAGGATGTGTGGCCACATATCCGGACACCATGGCTCAACTGAGACAGCATATGAAAGTCACATCACAGCTTCCCCTCTAGCAGGCAAGCCCAGCTTGTGAGACCAGGCCAGTGGTACCTGATTCTCCAGACTCTGCATCTCAGCCCGGGTATCCTCTGTGTTCTCATCACTGCTTCATGGAGCAAAAGGTCCTGCCTTTCCGCGCAGCCTTCAGATACGTCCCGTGATGAGAATTCTTCTCCTGATGGTGGGTCCCAGGGATGCACTCTGCCACATTCCTCTGCCCTACGTGATACTCTTCTCCTCATCACCCCCAGAAGCAGATTTTATCTCCACTTACTTCATCAGAATCTTGAGCATCATGATTTCCTCTTTGTGTAATTTATTTCATTTCCTCTAGAAACCTTTTATCCTGCGTGAAAGCTACGATGGGTACACTGTCCTCCAACAAGATAGCCACCATGTCATATGCCACGCTCCGCGGGTTCTTGCCTCTGGCATATCCCTTACTGGGTCAAACTTTTGGCTGAGTTTTGGCTACGGTGTGTGTGTGTGTGTCTGTGTGTGTCCTTCTTTACGTTTTCTTTAATTGCCTGTTTTCTTGGCATGTTCTATCTGTGACAAATCCTAGCTCTATGGGCCATTTCTTTGTGCTCCATTTTGATTCCAAAGCCAGACCAAACCAAACCAAACAAAATATTACAAGAAAGCCACTGAACAAATTTATTTTTATGAATAGCTATTTTTAAATTTTAACATAATGCTGTGGTTTGAATACAGTTGGTTCCCTTTAAAAGTCATGCTGATTTTTAATCCCCATCAGACAGTATGAAGGAGGTGGAAATGCAATCGAACTGTGCTGTTTAGAGTTGGGGTCTTCGGGAAGCAAGGGGTTAGATAAAGCCGTCGGCATGGAGCCCCTTGGTGGCTTTGTAAGAAGGAGAGAGACCAGAACACACACACCTACATTCTCCATCTCATGCCAGGTGATACCCCCGCACTGCCTCTGGATTCTGTCAGCAAGAAAGTTGATACTAAATGCAGCTTCTTGACCTTTGGGGCTCCAGAATTGGGGGTCAGAATAAGCCTCTTTTCTTTGTAACTTGTGCAGTCTGTGGTACTGTTATTAGTAGTAGCTAAAAGACTAAGACACACGATTTTTTTTTTGCGTGTGTGGGGTGCTGGGGATTGAACCCTGGTTCTTGTGCATGCAAGGCAAGCACTCTACCAACTGAGCTATATCCCCAGCCCTAAGACACACAATATTAACAAAACAAAATCCAACAGTGCTTAAACAAGATAGTGTACTAAGTCTAAATTACATTTATTCCAGGAATACAAGGTTTGGTTGATATTTCAATATTAATATAATTCACTCTATTATAATAGGCTGGGGATGTAGCTCAGTGGTAGAGGACTTGCTTAGCATGCACAAGGCCCTGGGTTCAATCTTTATCACTGCTGAGAGAGAGAGAGAGAGAGAGAGAGAGAGAGAGAGAGAGATTATACACACATGCATCGTACATACAACTCATCCTATTACCGAAATAAGAGAGTCAATAGATACATCAAAAATATTTGACAAATTTTAAAATTCATTTATGATAAGAACTTTGAGTAAAGTATGCATACAAATGAACTTCCTTAATTTGATATTTGAAGCATCTATGAAAAACCTACAGTCCATATCATACATAGTTGTGAAAGATGAATTAATTTTGCCCATCTTTGGGACAATGCAAAGATGTCTACTTTCACATCTTCAATTCAACATTGTGACAGAAGTCTTAGCTCAAGCAAGGAGGCAAGAAAAAGAAATAAAAAGTGCACAAACTGTAAAAGAATAATTAAGGCTGTTGTTGTTTGTAGGTAGTATACATGGAAAGATCCTGATGGAATTTATCAAAAAGCTACTTGAAGTTAACGAGATGGGAGGTTACAAAATCAATGTACAAAAACTAATTGTGCTTATACATACCAGCAAAAAATAGAAATTGAAATTTATGAAACACTGTCCATTCTAATAATCGGATAGGAATGGCCTAGGGCTCTATTTGACAAAAACGTGAAAAAAACTGGACATTGAAAACTGCAAAACACTGTGAGAGATGTTAAAGAACACCTGAATAAATAGACAGCCGTGCCTTGCTTGTGGGTCAAAAGGCTCAAAATTGTTGAAATGTGAATTCTCAGCCCAATGTGGTAGGACATGCTTGCAATCCCAGTGACTAGGGAGGCTGAGGCAGGACCATGGCAAGTTGAGGCCAGCCTCGAAACTTGGTGAGACCCTCTCTCAAAATAAAAAATAAAAAGGGCTGGAGATGTAGCTCAGTGGTAGAACCTTTGCCCGGCGTGTACAAGACCCTGGATTCAAGCCCTAATACCACAAAAATCAGCTAATTAATTTAATTAAATTAGAAAGGCTAGCAATGTAGCTCAGCGGTAGGGTTCTTTGAGTTCCATTCCTAGTCAGGGGTGGGGGGAGAGAAAACAGAAACAAAATAATAAACACTGTATTTCTATTTATCAGTAGAAAAGACAGATCTAATCTATAGTAACAAAAAACAGCTGATCAAGAGTTGTATAGTTCTGGGATGTTCGGGGTGATGGGGACGGAGCGCACACACACACACACACACACACACACACACACACACGTGCACGCAGCATGTTGAGATGACGTGTTCCACTTATGATTGTGATTGTATTTACATCAACGTATACCTTGTCAAAAACCACGGCATCATAAATTTATAATGGGTTCACTTCAATGTACGTTCCTCATATCTCAATAAACTGATTTTTAAAAGGCCTTTCAGTCTGTGGAGAAGGAGGAAAAACATTTTTAGCTGAAGAAGTCATGAGGTCACTGGAGCAGGACATGCGTGACCGCAGGGGAAGAGACACAAAGCAGCACCGTGTATGCAAAAGCAGCTTTACACCCCGGGCTTGCACTAAGGACACTTCTGTGTGGTCGCCGACACTTTAACCTTGGCATCCTTGTCTCCACATGGGCTTTCTCACGCCTGGGAGCAAAGGTGTGGGCCCACCGTCAGGTTTCAGCCATTTCCTGGGGACCATTAGTCTGCTTCCCCACATGCTCTTATTTTCCTTTATTTTTGTGCATCACGGACCACTCTTTTTTTTTTTTTTCTCTCCGTCTTCCTCTTTGGACTTGATTCCTGGACGCAGATGTCAGTATTGGATGGCACCTTTCCACATTTCTTAATGGCTCAGCTTCCATTTTTTTTGGTCTGTCTATTCGCAACCCTAAATACTCCAAGATTGAAAAAACTGGAAATTAAAGTCATTTATCCTCTAATTCATAGTCTGAATTACACACAGGCTTCACGTACCAAGAACTGGTAGTTCAAAGTGATAAGGAAAACCATGAGAGGGGTTCTAGATATCCAGACTTGGGATGAAGAAAGAGAAATATCACAAATGTCAGTCGGGGTAAATAGCGAACTCCTCCCTAGTGTTCAGGGGCTGATGTGCATATGCCTATTTTCTCTATTTTATTTTCATACACTGTAACATTTTGTTACGAATTGTAATTTCCCATGATTTTATGCTCATTTGTTGGTACACCAAAAGTTCCAGTGTGAAAGCTTGTAAAGGTATGAATAGTTGGACCCTGTGCAGATCATCCTGTGAGACAGCTGTCAGATGTGACCTGGTGACCACCCCATCCATCCGTAGCTCAAGGATGTTTGCCTGGCGTGACTTTTCTAGGGACTGCTGGGAAACAGGGGTGTGTTGATGAGACCGTGGAGGGGACAAAGATGAAAGTGTGCCACTTGAATTTCAGGAGGTCTGTATCGTGGTGAGACCCATTGAAGTCAGAAACTCTCTTTGAGAGACCAGAGCTCTTAAAGGAGGCCCTCGAATATTGATGGACGCGCAGGGTCTCCGGGTTGTGGAATGGCACCAAACTACAGAATATCTTTGATTTTTCTCAGCCTTCATAGGAGAAGAAATTGAGCCTGGCCTTTGGGGGGTTCTTCTTCCTTCTTCTATTTCTATAAACGTGCGCTGAAGGGTGAACTTCCGGTCCTGACTTCCTCAAACCTGAAAGCTGTCACCTCTTGACCTGAGGTGCATTATTTTTGTCTAAGAAGCATCTTCATTTAACCATCTTCAATCTGGTCCTCATGCGGCCGGGGCTCTTGCTGTTTATCTGTGGTGAGTCGGACAGCTGGGAGCAGGGTCTGGGGAGCCATCACACTGGGGCTCCACTGGCTGACAATCTATGGGGACTCCTGGGGACTAAGTCTCTGCCTGGTGAGGCTCAGGGATGCTTGGCACATCTCAGATCTGTACTTCCAACTCAGGGCTCAGAGTCAGGCAGAGTTTTGAGGAAAATTATCGCTTCAGTTTTTACCTAAGACGTGTTCACTGCCCATCTCTCCTTCTACCCTTAATTCTGTCTTTGTTCTTGATGCTTTCAACAGCCATGCCAAAAAATATCTGCACAACAAAGATAACCTTTCAGTTCCCTTCTTCTTATTGTTACAAGCATTATTTTCTCTTATCCCTCTTTGCACCCCATTCCTACTGTCAAGCCTTAGAACTCATCATCACCTCCTTTTTCAGGATTCCTCCCCACCCCACTGTAACCTAGGCCACTTTCTCTAACACTGTCTCCGAGGTGTCTGTGACTCCCGGCATTGCTTTTCCATGATCGGCGACCACACATCATGTGCTCCGTCCCCACGGGACGCAGATTCCCCAATACATCACCACGACACCCCTTAGGCTCTCAGTCCCCACAGCACTGTCCTGCTCAACCCTATTTTTTTTTTTTACACACTTTACATGTGTGCCTGAGCAGCTGGAGGGGACTTTAGACAAAAGGCACAGCCCAGCTGACATCTCCATTTAATGTGGGACCCCAAATTTCAGGCAGCTCTTAGCACTGCCAGGCACTTTCTTGCACTTTGACGGTCCTCTTCTCCTGCCCACGATGACCACCGTTTCACACCTTCTTTCCCCTAGATGGACCCCTTTGATTCCCATTTATACCCTTGCTTCATGGCACGTTGATAAAATAAAAACCACCAGAAGAAAAAGTCCTTATGCTTTTGCCGCCGCATCTACCCACTCGCTGTCCCCTGCAGTCACCTATTCTGTGTCCTCTCCCACTGTCCTCAATATCTTCTCTCTCACCCACCCCCTTGCCCCATCCTCTTTCTGTCTCCCTTTACAAATTTTCAGTGAGTTAGTCTTTGTTTCACTTCCTTCCATCTTTTTCTTTAAACTCCATATTTGATCTTTAATTCTATTAAGATCTGCTTTTTTGAAATAGTATCTGGGATTTTTTAACAAAGGTTTAGGGTCTCGTGGCCACCAATTCATCTCAAAAACCCATTTCCCTCACTTCAAACATCCCCTCCCCCCTCACTCTCTCCATGTCAGATGGTCCCCTCTCTGTAACCCCCGACAGCTGATAAATGGCTTTAGGTCTCTGTGGTCCTTCCTTTTCCTTTCTTGAACCCATTTTAATTGGTCTTTCACTCACTGCTCCATGGAAACTGCTTTTGCTGATCAAGTCCACTACGTCCATGTGGCCTCGCCCGGTTTCCAGTTTCCACTCCTCAGCCTCTTGGGGCATTCAACACTGATGATCACTCCTTCTCCGGGACACATTTTCAACACCTGGCTCCCAGCATACTCTATTCTGCTGGTTCTCTTCCCTAAATTATATGATTCTGTTGCTCCATGAACCATTTTCAGCTTAAATTCAAACTTTTTTCTTCAGCTTTGACTCCGTTGTTAAGCACCTTTTATGTACCAATGGCCACTCAAGTATCTAATAGCGTCTTTCCTTCCTTCCTCCTTCCTTCCTTCCTTCCTTCCTTCCTTCCTTCCTTCCTTCCTTCC